GGGTTCCGCATTATAATTATAGTATAACATACCCCAAGCCCCATTCTGATTATTAAGGCCCCTACATTAGGAGCCATCGTGTTCCTTAGGGTCTTTGTTTGTCGCTATGTTAGATCATACACCATATTCCTCAGTTTCCCTCCTTGTCATTACGAATCATACACCATCTTCCTTTGGGGTCCCTCCATATCAGTTCACTATGACATACTCCCAAGCCCCGTTCTAGTCATCAAGCCTCCTGTATTGCTGCCTTCAATCCTCCCGATCCTGGTGTAAAACCCCAAACAGGCCCTAAACCCTAAAACCCTATACCCTAAAACCCTAAACCCTAAACCCTAAAACCCTAAAGCCCTTATCCCTAAAACCCTCAACCCTAAACCCTAAAGCCCTAAGACCCTAAAGCCCTAAGACCGTAAAACCCTAAACCCTAAGAACCTAAAGCCCTAAACCCTGAACCCTAAAACCCTAAACCCTAAAACCCGAAACCCCAACACCCTAAAACCCTAAAACCCTAAAGCCCTACAACCCTAAAGCCCTAAAGCCCTAAAGCCCTAAAGCCCTAAAGCCCTAATCCCTAAAACCCTGAAGCCCTAATCGCTAAAACCCTTAACCCTAAACCCTAAAGCCCTAAGACCCTAAAACCCTAAACCCTAAGAGCCTAAAGCCCTAAACTCTGAACCCTAAAACCCTAAAGCCCTAAAGCCCTAAGACCCTAAACCCTGGGGGTTCCGTGGCCCTGACAGCGTGCATTTTGCAGGCTTCCCGGTCCCTCAGGGTCCAGGTGCCCAAATGGTATTGGGTTAAGGTTTCGGGTTCCTTTCAAAGTTCTCTTAAGGCTTTTAGGGTTTAGGGTTTAGGGTATTTCCTCTGGTTTTAGTCCTTTTTTGGAAGGGTTTAGGGTTTAGGATACCATATATAAGGTTAGGGATTCGGCTTCCCTGAGGGTCCATGTACGCAAGTCGTACATACTTTGGCCTTCAAGTAGTCCATATGTAGGGCCTGGGTATATACTAGTAGGTTACATGGACCCCAATCAACTTATCCTTGAGGACATATTGCAGATGAAGATTGATGTCACCTCTAGGCTAGGTCACGTTGTGCTGACATGGCACACGGTGTGCAAGGCGTCTTGAATTAGAGCTTTTTTTGGTGCAGGTACGAAATCAAGCAGTGCTAGTGCCTTGGCTGAGAATAACGGCCCGAGGGCTTTTCCTGCCGCAACACCCTAAACCCTAAACCCTAAACCCTAAACCCTAAACCCGAAACCCTAAACCCTAAACCCTAAACCCTAAAGCAGAGCCGTGAGGGACCCGAAACCCTGGAACTTCAGTCAAGGAGTTCTTATAGTAGAGGCCCAAAAGTTGGAAACCCAATAGCCTCAATCCTTAAGAGTACTGAGTAATGTATAGTCCGAAACCCTAAACCCTAAACCCTAAACCCTAGCCCTTATAGGGAATCCCAGCACTATTTATCCTTAATCCGGTTTCCAACTTTTGGGTTTACTATAACTACCAGCGAACAGGGAGAAGAGTTCAAGTTTACGTCACAACGCAAGCAGCTCCCGGCTGGGAAGATCACTTAGGTAGACGTGATAAATCGTTGACAACTTGTTTAGGGTTGAGGGTTTAGGGTGGCATGCACCCTCTCTGTTCTTGCTTGTTTTATGCACATCCAGCCCCAGTTTACTTATTGGCTTCGCTCTGTTTTACATGCATTGTCCGATGGCTCGTAAACTTGCCAATCTACTTGCAAACTTGCCTTCGCCTATGTGGAGGCAAACTGTCTTCCGTGCTCTTGCAGCTTTCCCGTGGATGGCCTTGCGTTTCCTGCACTACTCCAAGCATTCGAGGTGCATAACACGGTGCCGGACACCAAACGTACACCGCCTAAACCCCATAATGTAGGGGCCTAGATACATACCAATACTATTTTTGGGGCTCCTTGTTACAATCATTATAAAATTCCCCGCCCCCCAACCCTATTCTAATTGTTAAGGCCCCTATATTATCACCCTAAAGCCAACAGTTGGCCTTAAATCCCAAACCCTAAACCCTAAACCCCAAAGCTCTCAGCACTATAAGCCCTAAACCCCGCAAACCCCTAAACCCTAAACCCCTAATCCCTAAACTTAGAAACCCGACAAAGCCTAATGTTCAAACGGGTCTAAATGGGGGTTTCCAAAAATAGGGGACCCTAATATAGCACCCTAAATAATAGGATCCTTGTTATAAGGACCCCAAAATAAGGTACCCTAATTTTCGGAAAGTCCCATTAAATGGCGCTTCTCCGAGGCCCGGGGAGCTCGAGTTTCGGGCTCAGACATTTTGAGGTTCCATAGGGTTTAGGGTTTGGCGTTTAGGGTTAGGGTTTAGGGTTTGGGGTTTAGGGGTTTAGGGGTTTAGTCTGATATAGGGTTTAAGGTTTAGGGGTTTAGGAGTTTAGCGTTTATATAGGGTTTAGTAATTACCAATACTATTTTCGGGGGGGGGGGGTCCTTATTATGATGATAGTATGATAAGACTCCGATAGTATGTACCCAAAGGCTTCAATCCCCTTGATTGGGGGAAGCTTCCTTGGAGTATACAGGGATTCTCAATCTGATTTAAATCGGCGCAGATTCCTTAGTTAAGGGGTCTTGGTGAATTTCTGGACTATCAGCTTCCGGTATTGATTTGTGCGGAAAGGTCGAGTCTTTAGGGGTTTAGGGTTTAGTGTTTTGGGCTTGCAGGTCTAGGCTTCAGGACACCATCCCAAGACACACTAAATCCCGAGTTTTTCAAGCCAGCGCTTGGCATCAAAGAAAAACAAGGGCAGTACCGCATCTTGACGGAACGGGTGCACCAGCAAAACGATAAACCACTACCTTCGCCATCAATCATAATCATGTGTGTCATCGTGATGGTCACCACCGCCGGCACACTTATGTGTTACCATGACTTGAGCATCCCCAGTTTCACCACAACCGTTGTCGCAACATTCATCACCATCATCATCATCATCATCACCCCCACTCGTATCCTCATCCTTGTCCTCCGCCCATCACTGCCAGCACCACCGCATCATCATCGTCATTATCTTCTCACAGCAGCATGCTGACATGTAAACTCTTGAAACTACCCCCCCTCCCCGTAGGTGTATTTATATGTTCACAAAAAGCGTCTTAGGTGCGTTAATGGGGGCTCCTAGCTCTTTTGAAGTGTGAGGGTTAAGTTAATGAGTGAGGTAGCATGCAGGGCCTCGCAGATTAGGGCTTAGGCTTAGGGTACCAAATGCTGTAGCATACTCTAATACACTGATCTGCCACAACATTGAGGGCTTAGCGGCTTGCGGCTTCGGAATTTGCTTGTCGAAGCATCTGGCATGAAATGAAGGTTCCGGGAGCAGCTACAGCTACGACAGCTATAGCAGCGATAGTAGCGACTCGGATCTGTCTCAAGAGCTCTCAGTTTTTGTTTAGAGTTCAGAGTTTAGGGGTTGGGGCTTAGGCTACAGGGCTTTGGGTTTACGGTTCTGGGTTTGAGGGTTGTGGGTTGAGGGTTTCGGGTTCGTTAAATTTGTTGTTGTGCAGTAAGTGTTTTCCATGTGTAGGATAAGACCCTAAACCTAACATGCAGAACCCAAAAACCATCCGTAAAAGGCAATGTAAACGCAAAGCTCCCATCCACGATGTGGTTTAGGGATGCAGGTTTGCGCTTCCAAGGGCTTGTAGGGGCGATAAACATGATAGTGGTGTAAAAACGGTAGAGGCACTTACGGACTATGCGAGGAGAGTATCGCCATAGAAGGAGGACCGTCATTTAAGGCTTTCGGGTTTGGGGCTTTCGATTTCCCGAAAGCCGTCAGGTTTCCGGGTGTAGGCAGTGTAGGGCTTTAGGGATTAATTCGTAGGGTCTTAAAGCTTTAGGGTTCAGGGCTTCAGGGCCCAGGGCATTGATAGGTCTTAGGGATTCAGGTCTTAGGGTTTTGGGATTTGAAGTTTACGGTTTTTCGGTCAAATGTACTAGAGAGCAGTATCCCCTTCATGCCCCTACATCGGCACAGAATGCTATACGTGTATGTATGTATATACACACATACATACACATAAGTCTTTCTATATATACATATATACACATATTTTGCATACACAGTCGAAAGCCACATAGTTGTAATGGTTGGGGATCCTATGATACCTTCTTGAGTTTAGGGTTTCTGAACAGCAACTCCGAGCCTGCGAAAGCAAATAAGCCTGAAATGCTGAGGCTTACCGCAACACTACTGGGTTTAGGGTTTAGGGTTTAGGGTTCCTCAGTAGTGCCCTTTTTGCACTGTTTATCTTGTGGCCCCCTTATTAAAACCGAATATTAGGTAAAGGGGTACCCTTATTATTGAGGGGTTACTGGGGAACCTAGACTACAATCAGCATACTGTAGTGGAGAAACAGCAGTGGCAACGATCATAGTAGTACGCAGATGTCGAGGCTTAGGTTTTTTAAATGCAGCTCTTGATTCCTTACTGGTGTTGTTGTTATCTATTTCCATTGTGACTACGTAATAATGTTGGGCTAGTTAAGCGTTCTTTCGCATGGGGAAGCACATGCAGGCATAGACACATACATACATACATACATACATACATACATACGTACATACATGCATGCATGCATACATGAATACATGCATGCATGCATGCATACATAACTACATACATACATACGTACATACAAACATACATACATACACACATACATACATACATACATACATACATACATACATACATACATGCCTACATGCAAAAATACAGATGCCTGTCTATATATATATATATCTAATATGTAGTTATCTGTTTATGTGTTTATGTACGTACACAAATATTCACATACACACACGGAGTAGACAAGCCGCGACAACAACATACAACAACCGTAACAGACCTTCGTTCAGAATGAGGCAGCGCTTCAAGCTCGAGCTCGCAAAAGGCCTGCGGATGCTGTTTGGTTCGTTGGCCTCCGAGGGGTTGGACTTGAGTTCTGATTTATATCGGGCTTCAGTGCTCTAGGGGTGTAAGGCGTCTTGTTTGGGGTTTCTGGTCATGAGGGTTTCGGGTCTAGGATGGTTCGAGGTAATCTCTGGTTTGGGGGTGTTCCATTGTCGGAGTGGAGAAGTTGCTGCTGCCTGAGGCCAGCGCCAAAGCCAAAGCAGCACCTGCCAGCGCCAAAGCAGCGACTGCGAAGCCTATCCCAGCGCAAAAAGTGTGCGCCAGAAGTTTCTGCTTCAGTCGTACTCGGAATCGTGAACTCCTTAACCCAGCATGTTCAGGTTTGGGTGTAGAGTTTTTGTTTTGAGTGTTCTAGAAGCCGGAGAGTCGTGGGACTCAATAAGTAGACTGAGGTCAGACTATGGGTTTCGACTCCGTTGTGGCACACGTACAGCTTTATCAGCAATAATTACCCTACACGGTTTAGGGTTTAGGGTTTTGGGTTTAGGGTTCACAAAGTTAAGCCCGTTGATCCTGAGCCCCTATTGTAAGCCCCACGGATGCCATGTAGAGCTTAACGAACCCTAAACCCTAAACCCCTAAACCCCGAACCCCTATCCTACGAAGTCTCCTACTGCTAAACGAGAAGTTACGGCCCCATAGCGCCACAAGCAAGCCCTCTGCCGCCGCCGCCACCAGCAACAACAGCAACAATAACAGAAATTACAACAGCACCAACAGCAGCAATAACCCTAAACCCTAAACCTAAACCCTGCACTTCCCATGGAAGAAGATGAAGTTTGCAACTGCTGCTCTCCATCGTTGTTGCTGCCGCATGTCCTGTTGAGTTTTCTAAAAAATCTCTTGAGTTGTAGAGTGAAGAGGTAGGGTTTTGCCTTTGTTTTAGGTTTTAGGGTGGAGGTGTTGTGGCTGTGGGTTTGAGCTTTTAGTAATCTGTGCCAAGCTAGAAACCCGGACCCCGCGTACCCCAACCTAAACCCAGGACCTCCTTTGGGCAGGCCATCAGGCTCATGAGAAACCCGTATGCAGATGCGGTAGCCTTGAACACAAACGCTAAGCTACGGAACCTTAAACTCTAAGCGCCCTCTAGTTAAAGCCGTATATGACTTATGCTCCAAACCCCAAAGCTCACACCCCTTCTACAACCCTAATTACACCTAAACCGTCAAGACCTAAACCCTAAACCCTTGACCGACTAAAAAAAAACAACCTTAACCCAAGCAGGTCCGGGTATTACACCTAAACCCTCAAACCCTAAACCCTAAAAACCTAAACCCTAAACCCTAAACCCTAAACCCCTAAACCCTAAACCCCTAAAGCCCTAAACCCTAAACCCTAAACCCTAAACCCCTAAAGCCCTAAGCAGGTCCGGGTCATGGCCTTGCAAGCCGTTGCAGAGCTCTGCGCTGACGGCCGCAGCCGCACTCGCAAGGCGCCCTCGACTTCTTGGGGTTTAGGGTTTAGGGTTTACGGTTTAGGGTTTGTTCAATGTTCCGC